AATATCCAACAGATAAACTGGTTTGTTGTTACCACCGGGGATGTGAAACCCGTTCCCAAGCAGGACTTGGAGCGGAAGAATTGAAATACTTGACTAGACATTTGGAAAAGGTCCATGCTGTCAAAAAGGTCAAGTGGACTTACATTTGTACGATCTGCGGGGAGACCCCCAATGAAAATCTTGCATACCCGTCCAGATGGATGAAAACGCATCTGGAAAAAGTCCATAACAAAGAAGCCGAAAAAGAAATTTAGTATCGGAAGCGGTACTAGATCTCGAGCGGCCAGTGCACTGAATGATTCAGCACCATCTTTAGCACCTCCTAGGAAGACAACGTCCAGAAAGACCGAGTCCAAGGTGATAGAGTTTTTCGACTCCTGAAAAGATTACAGAGTTGGAAAAGCAAGATTCAAACGAGAGGAGTGGCAAAGTCCCTCAGTGCTCTGAAAGAATCGGTAACAAAGAAAGAAAGAGAGGAAGTTGGCAAGAAACCAAAACTTGCTCCTATCCTTGAAAAAAAGCTGAAAAGAAAAGTGCTCGGAAAAGCCTAGCGAATGTTCTGAAAACGGAGACAACATCAAGTTCCAGAAACAGCTCTATCGGAGCGGACTGCGACCTGAAAATGTTGACCGGAATTGAGAGAATAAAAGCGGCTCGAGAGCAAAGCTCAAAGCAGGCTCGCCTTTCTACTCAGAAAAGGATGAGTTTGTCAGCAGTGGGAAAATCTCCAAAAAGGGAGCCACAAACAAAGGAATTGGAAAAAGAAACCATTCCTGATCCAGTAGTGACGACAATGGAAAACCCCATTGAATCGGAAGCGCTGGAAGAAGAAGAAGACCTGAACAGAACTTTTGTCATCGATGATGATGATGAAATAGTCTCGAGAAGGTTCAACACATGGTGCCTGGACCATGAAACCTCAAAGGAGGCATGGTTAAGTGACGACATCATATTCTGGTATCTGAAGCATCTTTGCGCAAAAAGCACAAAGTATGAAACTTTGGATCCAATTATGTGGGAAATGTACAAAAGAGAAGGAATCATGCTCATAAAGCAAAAACTTTGGAGCACGAAAACCTACTTTTTCCCAGTTTGCGAAAATAACCACTGGATCCTTTTGGTGATAAGCTTAACTGGAATCTGGTACGCAAACAGCTTCCTACGTGAACCCGAAGGAAAAGTTCAACAGTTTATTGAGGAATTGGGGACTGAACGGAAAAAGTTCGACACTCCAAATCCCTGCCAGACAGATGGCATAAACTGCGGTGTTCATGTATGCCTGATGGCAAAATCATGTCTAAATGACGACTATTGGTATACCGAAAAAGAGGTCCAATCGTTCCGAAAAGATGTGAAAAAGATGCTCAGAGCAAACGGATATGACCTGTACTCTGAACAATACCGTGATTTCCACCAAACAGATGAAACCACGAAAAAACCAGAAAGTCCAGAAAAAGTGGACACTTCTGAGGTGTCAGTTGAATCCCCAATGGATATTCCACATGTTGGTCAACCGGAAGAAGTGGATAGAGTTTCCATCCCAAAACTGATGGACCTAAAACTCGAATGCCCTCCACATCTTCTACAAAAAGTTGCTCCAAAAGTGGTCAAACCAAAGGAGAAACCCACTAAACAGATGGGTAAAGCACGCAAAGTGCCAACTGGAAAACCAGAGGAACTGGTCGTGAAAGTACGAGAATGGTTCCAAAAAGAGTTCCAATCGTACATTCAAGACGGTAGAAGCTTCCAAAGATTGGAGTGGATCACCGACGTCCTGACAGCCGCCATACAAAAGGCCTCTGTTGGGGACACCCAGGCAATCGAGAAGATTGTGAAAAGATGCCCACCCTTGGAAGTGGAAGAGGGTGAGATGGCAACGCAAACGGATCCAAAAAGGATTCCCAAGAAGGGTAACAGCAACCCGACTGGAGATGGTGACAGCCGCAAAGGGCCACCAGTCTCTCAAAGGGACTCGTACTGGCAAAACCGGACGAAGACCTTTAACCAACTGATCGGCAAAGAATCGAAGCAATGCGAGATCCCGATCAGTCAACTTGAACAGTTCTTCAAGAAAACCACCTCTGTCACAAATGTAACAAAAGAGGTTCTGGAATCAAAAAGTTCCAAAATCCCAAAGATAAAAGTGGGACAGTGGATTGTAGACCCATTCACTGAACAGGAATTGGCAGTTGCTCTTAAGAAAACCAAAGACACTGCTCCTGGAGTTGACGGACTGAGATACCATCATCTAGAATGGTTCGATCCTGATCACAGAATTCTGACGCCCCTGTACAATGAATGCAAGGAGCATCGGAAGATTCCATCACATTGGAAAGAGGCAGAAACGATCCTTCTATACAAAGGAGGAGACGAATCTAAGCCCGAGAACTGGAGACCAATCAGTCTCATGCCAACCATCTACAAACTATATTCGAGTTTGTGGAACCGAAGAATCCGGTCAGTGAAGGGTGTCATGAGCAAGTGTCAAAGGGGATTCCAAGAGCGGGAGGGTTGCAATGAAAGCATTGGAATCCTTAGAACCGCGATTGATGTGGCGAAGGGCAGGAAAAAGAACCTGTCAGTCGCCTGGCTCGACCTTACCAATGCGTTCGGTTCAGTGCCACATGAGCTCATCGAGCACACTCTGGAAAAAGTATGGATTCCCAGAAGAAATCGTCCACGTCATAAAAGACATATACAATGGGGCATCCATCCGAGTAAAGAGTAAAAATGAAAAGAGTAACCAGATCAAGCTGAATTCTGGGGTGAAACAAGGAGATCCCATTTCACCAACGCTTTTCAACATGTGTCTAGAAGGTGTCATCAGAAAACACCTGGATACGTCCTCAGGCCACAAGTGTCTCAAGACAAAGGTCAAAATACTGGCATTTGCGGACGACATGGCCATATTGTCTGATTCCAAGAAACAACTCCAGGAAGAGTTGGAGAGAATGGATGATGACTGTACCCCACTCAAACTCATATTCAAACCGAGCAAATGCGCTAGTTTGATAATTGAGAAGGGCAAGGTACGACCTGAAGCACAAATAATGCTGAAGGGTGAACCCATTCGAAATCTCGCTCCAAAAAGACACCTACAAATACCTGGGGGGGTCCAAACAGGAGTCGAGACTAGAATATCAGAGCTCGAATTGCTGACCAAAGTCACCAAAAGAGCTGGAGAAGGTAAACACAAGCGACCTAACTCCACCACAGAAACTCGACTGTGTAAAAGCCTTTGTGCTACCGAAATTGACATATATGTACGCCAATTCGGTACCAAAGATGACAGAGTTGGGTCAATTTGCCAACATGACGATGAGGGCAGTAAAGGTTATGCACTCAATCCCAGTCCGAGGATCCCCGCTAGAGTATATCCAAATACCAACTAGTAAAGGGGGACTCGGCGTTGCGTGTCCAAGAATAACCGCAGAAATCACTTTCTTAGTGTCCACAATGAAAAAGTTGTGGTCCTCAGACCAGTACATCCAAAGACTGTACCGGGAATATCTGGAGGAAGTGACCCGAATCGAAACGGGCAAAGATCAGGTCACCCTAGGCGACCTGGCGGCCTATCTCAGCAACGAGATACCAATCGATAAAAAGGCGTTCGGTTTCAGTTGTTTCACAAGACTACGCGAAGTATGCAACAGTCTGTGGAAAATCAAGTCCGCTCCTTTGCATAAGGTGAAAATTGTTGAGTTCGAAGGTGAATTGGCAATCTCCGTACAAGCAATCGAGAAAGGCAACGAGAGAATCTTTTACCAAAGAGAATGTAAAAGAAACTCCAACAACTGCTAAAAGGAGAAGTGAATGACGCTCTCTCTCACAGATTCACGACCGAGAAAGTTGTGAAGAGTGAGGTAGTCCGAGTCATCCAGCAGTATCCTCAGTGCAACAGCTTTGTCAGAAAAGGTGGCAAAGTGAGTCGAGCAGCACACAAATTTGTGCACAGAGCTCGCCTCAACTTGTTGTCGTGCAACTATAACACGTACGACAACACAAAGTCAAAAGAATGCAGAAGATGTCATTATGAGAATGAAACTCAGTGGCACATCCTACAAAGTTGCACTTTCGGACTCCCGAAAAAAATCACTGAAAGACATGATGCAGTGCTCATGAAAGTGAAAAAACTCATCGAAGCTGGTTCAAAGAAAGACTGGAAACTGAAAATAGATCAGGAAATACCAGGATTCACCAGACTTCGACCAGACATCTACATGAGAAGTCCAGATGGAAAAGAAATCATCATGGCCGATGTAGCCTGCCCATATGAGCATGGTGTGGAAGCCATGAAAAGAAGCTGGGACAAAAAGGTTCAGAAGTACTCTGACGGTTTCAGCAATCTCAAGGCTCAGGGCAAAAAGCTTACTGTCCTACCAATAATAGTTGGATCTCTCGGAAGTTGGTGGAAGCCCACAACTGACAGTCTGAAAAAGTTGGGAATAGAGGATGCAGTGATCCGTAAAGTGATTCCTGAATTGTGTTCTACAGTATTAGAATACAGCAAGAACGCTTATTGGAACCACATCTTCGGAGACTCCTACACTGAAATTCCACTCAAATTCGGAGACGAGAAACCAAAAGGCAACTCCTGGAAAAAGGAAAGAGCAAAACATGCTCCGACCCTTCCAGGGGACGTAGCCGGGTTCGAAGTCAACATGCCAAAAAGACCTGGCTCTGAATGGACATGGATAGGACTGAAAACGAGACTGATTAATGGAATGAGTAACCTGAAAAACCAATCCAAATTGATCGATATTGTGAATTTCCAGGAGAAATCGCAATAAATTTCTTTCAAATTACCACCTGATTCCAAAAAGGAACAGACCATAGCCACAAAGATGGCAGCTGACTCTTAAAAGGTGTGATGACAGGATCATAAACACAAGAGTCACAAAAAGGCATCTAACTAGACAAAATAGTTGGGTGCCGATCCCCCCTCTTGAGACTGTGCAAAGAACACAGTCTAGAACAGACGGGAAGACCGATCTAAACGCACAAAGGTGCCAGGTTGGTATTACTGTTTCATGAAGCTTGTTCCCAAAGTTCAGCCTCGCCTTTTTCTCTTTAGTACTTCCTAACCGAGTACGTAGGGTAAAGAAAGGGTCGAACGGGAAGGAACAAAAAGAGCTGATTGATCAGATTCCTCATTCCAATGCGAATGGGATGGCCGTGAGGCTACAGGCGGGTAACTCAGTCAGATGCTAGCGATCTTCGGATCCAACGGCGCTGACACAACATGAGGAACCCTGGGTTCGTTGGAGATAAAACTCAAATGGGCTGGAAATGGCTTAATCACAATGGATGACCACTGCCTTGCAACCACTTAAACCAGTGGGCTATGCGGGTGGGTCAATCTGAAATTGTGTGACCATATCCTGACTCGGCAATATCTACTCAAGGCTCTGAGAGCAAGTACATAATGGCCCTTCCCTACTATAAACTCCCAAGCAATTGGTGGCCCCGTTCGGCGGGTAATTACCACTGTTGCGCCCCAGGCTCGCCCCCCGACTTGACATGACCTAAAGAAATTTAGCGTCAGCTTTCTAATTTTGGAAAGTCTCCTTTAGGGGAGACAAAAGAAATAACACTTGAATTAATAGGATGCGTGTTAATGCAGTTATGCTCAGCGCAAGAAATAATGACAATTCAGCAGTGGGCTGGTTGTCATCATTTAGTCGTATCTGAGTCAATCAGGGCTGGGATTTTACGTTTACGGTCTTTTTTTACTCTTTTTGTGATAAAAAGTGATTCAATCATAAAGCGTACTGTTTTTGTCAGGAAATGAAAACTAGCATACAATTCAATAAATTCTAACTTTTCTATAGTCCCTATCGTTTTTTTGAACGTTTTGGTGTCTTTTGATGCCTAATCTTGTTCTTACTGATCAAATCAGGCATTTCTTATTTTTAGACAAATAGTGAAAAAAGTAATAGATTCGATCACTTTGATTAAATCACTTTTTATCACAAAAGAGTAAAAAGACCGTAAACGTAAAAATCCCAGCCCTGATTGACTCAGATACGACTAAATGATGATAATCGGCACACTACTGAATTGTCATAATTTCTTGCGCTGAGCATAACTGCATTAACACGCATCCCATTTCATTAAGTGTCATTTCTTTTGTCTCCCCTAAAGGAGACTTTCCAAAATTAGAAAGCTGACGCTAAATTTCTTTAGGTCATGTCAAGTCGGGCGTACCTCAAACTTGGGTAATTAAACCGACGCTGACGATGCGTCGCCGCTCTTCAGCAATGCGCGCAGCCGACACGTCCGAGGGACGGCGAGAACGAGGCCTCACCACAGCACACAACATTTAGTGCGGCCGCCGCCAAGCGCTTTATCGAAGGAGACGAGGTGGAAACAGAGGCGGTGGCTGCGAGAATATGATGGCGACGGCACAGGGAGAATTTCGCTTACGACCACATCACGTTGAATACACGCCATCCCGTCCGATCTGGCAAGTTAAGCAACGTTGAGTCCAGTTAGTACTTGGATCGGAGACGGCCTGGGAATCCTGGATGTTGTAAGCTTTTGCCTTTTCATCTAAATTTCTAATATTGTTCTTCTGTCGTTTTCTAAATATGCAGGTATTATCTTGGCAGTTGCGGCCCTTATTCTGTCATTCGGGCCCTCATTTAGCCATTGAGGCCCTTATTCTGTCACTTAGGCCCTTATTTAGCCTGATAGCCGAAACACCAGAAAGATGCCGGCTTTTCACAGTTCTTCTGGAAAATCACGATCAAAAATTACCACTTCTGGCACAAATCCGTTGCAGAAATGCAAATTGTCCGTCGGAGAACAAATTCCGAAAAGATTTCATTAATCGTGCAAGTCGAGCGGGTACGAGCACCGAGCAGCTTCCACATTTCGTCTAAAATTCCGTCCTTTTCGACGTCGTCAACGCGGCAAAAAGCGCCGGGAGCGGGAAAAGAAGGACGAGAATTCGCCGTCTGCGTCTCTCTCTCTCTCTCTCTCTCTCTCTCTCTCTCTCTCTCGCCGGACAAAAAGGAGCATCGTCCTGAATGGGCGCGGCACGGAAGAAGAAGAAAAGAAAAACGGCAGCAGGGAAATGGAAAGTCCTCTATCGTTTTCTGCTCCTGACCTCCACGAACGGACTCGGAATGTCGACGTTGAGCCGTTGACGCCCACGCACAGACACATTCCGTTGCTGAGTGACGAGTGAGTTATTATATATGTTGTACATTTTACAAACAATTGAGTTTCAGCGGAAACGGCAATGTTTCGCAGAGAATGCCGCAGCAACTCCTCTCAAATGTGTTCACAATTCGTTTCCGGACCGTTTCCCGGTTCGTCCGATGGTTATCCGAGGAGAAGTGGCTGGATTCTCTCTCCTTCCGTCCGGAATCCGAATTCATCATCTGCCTACGCTACCAACATCAGTTAGTGACCAAATTTCTAAGCCCACAATATTTTCTACAAAATTCCAGCTTCCTCATCCCCTCTGACATTCATTTTCGACGTGCAATCCGTGAAAATCACAAATCCAGGCGAGAGAACAAGAATTGAAGTGGGGCCGAGCTACAGTAATCCAGTTTAAATCCAACGGAACTTGAATGTCCACCACGTTCACTGGAACCGCATCGGCGTCCGCGGCGTTCAGCCTCGCTTTCCAGATTGAGGTATTATAGGTCCAGTCTTTTGACGCACTTGCAATATACACACTTTGCAGATGTCTAGGAATTGGGTCCAAGTTTCAGAGCGATCAGATTATCTGGTCTTTTTCGGCTTTGGGTTCACATATCTCGGGACCAGATGATCCAATCGGTCTGAAACTTGGACCCAAAATGCTTCAAGCCAAGTTCAAAAAGCTTGCAAAGTTTGGGGGGTTCGATTGAATTATTGATTATCGCAAAAGGGTCAAGCAATTCCAGAGTCCCACTACTACAACACCGCAAAGTTTGCAAACGACAACGAAAGAATCGAGGGAGACTTCCAGAATAGTTTCGAGGATTTTCACTGCGAATTGAATAATAATGACGAGTTCTTTTCATTTCGAAACATTTATTTACACACACACACACCCTCTCTGATAACTCGTTATCATCACTTTTTACCCTCAAACATTGTCATCTCGGAGACCGTCTGGCTTGTATAAAAGCCGAGTGCAAACCAAATTATTGGCGGACAGAAATGACCTTCTATTCCAACCATCTTTTCCTTCTCACCACTTTCTGTATACTGATTGCAACCGAAGGCGCTGTGGACATATCCTGTCCCAATTCGCCGATCGACGCAAGCACCAAATCGACACAGTTTCCCGCCGACGGATTGGCCGCTTTCCCGGCCGGATACACGTGTAATATCGATGTAAGATTCTTAAAAGTTTGCCAAAAAGCATAATGGGTTCAGTTCAACATTCCCGATGGATACGTGCTGAAGTTTATCGTTCAAAGCAGTGCCAAAGGCTATTCGGGCGACTCGTTCATTATTGTCGATTCGATTTCCACGCTTAATGTGTGAGTTCCTGTTCCTGTTCCAAAGTATTGTGAAACGGGGCAAGTATTGTGACAACTAATCGGAGCAACACCTCATAGATATTAATGAGAAAACCGTGAAACTCGAGCAATTTGCCGACTTTTTGCACTTTTCGTCGCTCTCATGGATGCTGTTTAGAAACTGGACCGTAACTCAGGAATGAAGAGTTTTGGGATCAAATGATCAACTACAAAGTTGTTAAGCATAAAAAATACTGCAACTTTTCAGTTGACCACTTTTTGGAATAATCATTGAATCTCTAGATATGACTGTCCAAACACGCGTTGAAAAGTACCAGATCAGGCCCTAAATATGATTTTTGAGAAAAATGATGAAAAATGATGCGTTCCTAAACCAAAAGAGCGCCAATGCCGTTTTTTTTTCCAGAATCGGAGAAGGACAATCTCTATTCATTTCGCCGGCGAACAAGTCGCAAGTCTTGATCTCGACCGTCACCAATTCGAGCAGTTTCTTCGTTTCCTGGCAGTACGTCGACGTCACACAATTCGCAAGAGTTCTCCAATCGACTGGATCCGTCATGAGTTTGGCATTGGCCTCAAACAGTTACTACACGTTCAAAAGTACGAACGATCAGGTGGTTTTGCATCCGGCGAACGTCAAACGAAACTTTGATTTGGTGCTGTCGCAAATTTACGTGTACGACGGAGAGGATCTGAAAACGGGCAAGTTCCTCGGCAACTTCATCACGGCCATGAGCGAGACGCCGTACCTGAGCTCATCGGGCAAGTCTCTGACTATTGTCAACTTCTACGGAACCGCCTCCAACTCGTACGTGCTCGCCAACGATTTGTCGACAGTGTCCGGCTACGCATCCTACGGATTCTACCTGCTGACGACTGAGAACGTGGACTGGTTCGAGCACCACGTGGATGCTTCCGCCGCGAAGACCCTCGCGTTCACCTACTTTTGTGTGGATTGCAATGAGAATTACATCGCCAATTTGGACTTTGTGAATCGACAAATCGACGGACAGACTGTGCAATTTCAGCCGTTGACGCCCACGCACAAGATGACAAAGCTGCTGAGTTACGAGTGAGTTTTGTTTGCGTGTGTTAGAACCTTGTCTCTAATTCAATCATGGTGCATCCATTTCTTTCAGTGCTCAAGACCAAGTGTGGCTCAGCCTGCCCCAACAAGTCCCTTCGAACCTGTTCACAATGACAGTATCAAACGTCGGGGTCCAACGACTACTGGGGAATGCTGAACTCGTACCCGACGAACGAGATCCTGAGGGCCCGAGTGCACGACCTGGAGAGCATGCTGAAGGCGGTGATGGAGCTGGAGCAGAAGACGAACCAACAGTGCTCGGTCGTCTATATTATGGATCTGACGGGCATCAAGATGGACAAGCGCACGATGACTCTGCTGACGGGCGGCCTCTCGGCCATCTCGGCTTTCATGGCCGAGCACTACGTGGAACTCGTGCACAGCTTCGTGCTCGTCAACGTGCCCGGCTTCATCTCGGCCATCTGGAGCATTGCGAAGCCGCTGTTGCCCGAGCGGACTCGCAACAAATGCAATATTATGGGGTCGAATTGGCGAGTGGAGGTGCTGAAGATGGCCGACGGGTCTTGTCTTCCCGCCTACTGGAACGATCCCGACGACGACGGACCGTTCACGGCGCCCATCGAAAAGTGCGTGCCGTTCCCGGAGGACAATTATTACAAGGGAAAGGCGCCCGAGAACGCGGATCACCTGACGGTCTCGGCCGGAAAGAGCGGATATGTGGAGATTGAGGTCAAGACGGTGGGTCTTTTTTTGGATAGTGATCCGCCGGACATTATCTTTCGGCACTTATATCTTGAGATCCAGCTATTATTTCAAAAAGTGATCAACTGAAAAATTGTTGTAATTTTTGAGCTCAACAACTTTTTAGTTGAGCATTTGATTCCAAAACCCGTCTTTCTTGAGTTATGGCCTAGTTTCTTAAGGTCTAGGGCGACGTGACGTGCAATTTATCACCCAGGATCTTGATTTTGTCGAACACCACCTCCGAACGCGTTGTTCGGATTTGGTTCTTGGAATGTAGATTGCCCTTGCTCGATCGTCGTCTTCTCGGATTCCTCTCCGGGTCCCATACACACCCGAAGATCCTCCTCGATTTTGATCACTTGCTCAAGGTCCTCAAACATCTGCGCCATTGTCCAATCCTTGTTGGCTTGGATCTTGCTTCTGTAGGTTTCTTTCCTGATGGACTGCGAGAATTTTCCCAGAAGAAAGTCCATCAGGTAACGGTTGTCGAGGTTCTCTCCGTGACGTTTGAGTTGCGTGATGGTGATGATCATCCGTTCCATCAACCTTCTTTGTTCTTTGATTGAGGAATCCAGAGCCTTCTCATTCTTGAGTCTGTCGTTCAGCTCAAGAACAATGGATTCTCTGTCGGAGTACTTCGCCTTGAGCAACTTTATCGCGTCGTCGTAGTTTTCTTCTGATACCTCGAAGCGGTATAGAAGTTCCAGTGGCTCTCCTCTGAGTGAGTTGAGCAGATGACAAAAATTTGATGATTTTTTTCTCTCGTCCGTTCGGTGAACTAGCTCGTCAAAGATAACCCAATATCTTTGAAACTCCCACTTGTTCCCGTTGAACGTTGGGACGGTGATGTTGTTGCGGATTTGGTGTCCGCTCACACGGATCTCCTCCTTCAGCATGCTCGATCGATGCCTCGAAGTCGACTCCTCTGATCGTATCCGACGCAGCTTTGCACTTAGAGCATCCCTTACTTCTCCTGCTTTTTCCCATGATTTCCAATACCAGGTCCACGTTTCCCTCGTACTTGGCCATCTGTCCAGGATTTTTCGGCGATCTCCTCGTTTTCGGCTGCCGTCGTAAGCTCGGACATGCTCCTCTCGAGCCTCTCCATCTTCGATTCGATGATGTCCAGCCTTTCCACGAACCAATCTTTCTTGAGAAGGAGTTCCGCGTTGGATACTCCTTCCAGAGGTTTCAGCTCCTCCTTCGTTTCCGTGGAGAACTGCTTGAGGGCGTTGCCTGCCCTTGTGGCAATGGCCAGGTGATAACTCATCATCCTGTGCTGTTGCCTTGATGGGTGAAAAAGGGGCCCAGTGCGTTACTGTGCCCTATTTTCGGTTTGATTCGGCTCGTGTGCTGACTGCTGCTGCCACGCGGGTCTTGCTCGTGCCTCGACTTCTTATGTTCGTCGATGCACCATAAAGAAAATC